CCTTTTTTAACGGTTTTTCGAAGCCTTTTTTCACTTTGGAAACACCGATGCACGCAGTTTCTTCACCTCAGTCGCACTAGTTTCGATCTTGTCTTCCATTTTCATCATAATCTAGATTCTAAAAATTATCGTGAACTGTGCCTTTAAAGGTAGAAGCTTTTAACAGGCACAATGTTTCAATGAGCGACAACAGTGGCATTAACGAACCTATAACATATCGCAAGAACACTGAGAGGCTCTGCCGGAGAAAATGCTTATTTCGGACACTAGGAAATCCAGTGGAATAAGTAGGGAAAATTACGCTCAAAATATTATGCATTTGCTCATGTCAGACTGCTCTATTCCACTGCTCCTCACGTGAAGTTGCAGAAGTTATTTCAATAGTTACAATAATGCCACCGTACCCCGATGGTAACAAAAACAACAGGTGCTTGCAAAAGTACAAAAGGCCACTGATTGAAAACTTAGAAACTAAGGAGATATTTCTCTCCCAGACACCTCGTTCTCCTTTGAACATTCAGAAATTTCGAGCCCTTGGGCACAGTAGGAGAAGTTTTACACTGCTCACCGCGCATTGCGCGAGCTATTTCGGCAGGGATTATCTATCAGCCACATTCTCCTGTGTGGACCATTTTCACTCATTTCTTCAACCGCACCTACCTTGCGAGAAGCGGAGAAAAGAAAATGATGCCAGTGACTTTGTATGGGTCAGCACTGCATAAAATGATTACAACTGTTAGAAAGAGTATAGAAGAAACGAACCGAATGCATGTGACGTAAAGGTCTCCCGATCTTAGTTGGATGACCGGGAGTGATTGTGAAATTGTAAGGGTACGGATGAAATAGGCATGGTGACTGAAGAAACGATCCGCTAGAAGATGGCCACTCAGTATAGCAAAGGCTTAAGTAGACGATATCAGCTGACTCGAAGGTCATTGTGAATACGCCGGATCCGAGCTGAAAGAAATATTGAGTAGCCTCGATAACAGACAAGACGAAGTACGGCCAAGCTTAGGAAGCTCATAGGTGTAAGGATAACATATTGCAGCACTGCTTGGAATCAATAAATGCAAGTTTTGCAATGACTAATAGTAAGGCAGAATCCCTTTAAAAGGAGTCAATCTTCGTCCCGCTAGAAACCCTCTTATTACAAGAGTACTCGGTAGCGTGGTGAAGAAAATTCACGCAGTTTCTGCTACCCATATGAAAGAGCAATGGGTCCAGACCGAATCTACACAGTTCTGGTGACTTTCCTGATCGAGATTTTCTTTGTTGCAGAGCTGAAACAGTGAACTAGTCTCTGACAAGGAAGGTCTTTCAGGGCGTGGGACGGCTTTTGAAAATGGTTTTCTGCATGGTGTAGGGGCATGAGCACTGAGCACAGAACTATGGTCCATTTCCGCTAAATGGCCTTGTGAATGCCAAAATAGGGGTGAAAAAGATTTTGCCAGAAATTGCCGTTTTAACCCACTAAGCGTCGTTCGTTTCAGTCATGACGTCGACTGTCCGCACAGTAGAAGGGGCCAGTGGAGGCGACATTGAAAATAACGTGAAAGGTGGCCAAAAAGGGGACCCACATGTTGGAAAGTGCGGGGAAGTTTCATATAGGCTCTCCACGGTCGAGCTGTCGGCAGCGACGGATGGTCTGGTGGATAGCGATGTGGACTTCGAGGGCGGACGATTAG